GCTTAGAGGCAGGAGAGAAGACCAAAGATCCTAGGAGCAAGGGTGTGGAGCTATACAGAGTGGATATTTGTGAATATGTTCCTTTATATCAGTTCTTACAAATGTAGTCTTAATATATTATTAAAATACATGTTTAGGAATTCCTCTTGTATTCTGAATTTGCACTCTTGAATATATTTTTCTTGTGTTACTTTTTCCCTTGTCTCTGCTACTACTGGTCAAAATCCGACTTCTGTATCAACCAAAACAAATGATTACAGGAGATGCCATGGCCAGCAGCTCTGCCTCTTACCTGCTTACCCTCATCCACTGAACAGTCAGCTCCATGAAGTGGGGCTTTCTGATGTTACCTGCCTAGCCAGTACCTTGACACCCTTAGCCCCTAGAGTTCAGCCTCCTATAGGATTCAGATATAAGAAAAATAACTTACTGTGGCATCCCCATGCCAGGGCCTGCTGTGTACCCTGCTAACTCAGCAGCAGTTCAGGATAGAGAAAAGACTAAATGGCATTTTCTATTATTTTTCAATAAGTTACAGTTTTAAAAGTTGGTGTTTAAATTCACAGTGAACATTCTAGTTTATGTGGAGAAGTGGGGCTGAGAGCAGGCTGCATGTTACTGTAACACAACGCGAGCTTCCTTCGGAACCGCTCATCGTCCACGATCAGAGTTGGAAGTGAGTTAATTGAAAACTGTTTACACTGTTTAACTGCTGTGTTGACTCAAAATATCAGCCCACTGGGTAAAGTGACCATTTTAAAGACAGCACTCTCTGCCCACCCCCACCACATTTAAAAAGTGAGCTTTAGTTTTGGCCACAGGTGTGCCACCCCTTCACGTGGGTGCATTTGCAGGGAATCTGTAGGTGGCTTATTCAGTGCTGTTGTACTCTAAGGATGTGAGAAAACTCGCTTAAGCAGCCTCCTAAGAGCGTGGAGTGACAAGCAGTGCTCCAGGACAGGCAGTGATACCTGGGGACCCAGGATTTAGAATGCTATTGGAATCTTCCCTCCCTGCTCCCAGGCTTTGTTTCTTCCTAAGCCCTGGCTGTCTTGAAGCAGACCAACTTTCTCCACATGGTGAAAGCACAGCTTGCAGCACAGGGCTCAGCCACTGGAGAGAAATGCCTGTCCTGAGTCCAGGCCTCACAGAGGAGAGGGGCAGGGGGCGCATGTGAGGAAGAGGCAGCTCTGTGGAGTGGGCCTTGGAGTGAATTGAGGGGAGAAGGAAGCCTCACTCTGAGGAGGAGATGTTGCCCAGCAGAAGGTGTGTATTGGCTTCTGCTGTTCCTACACACGCCTGAGGAATTAGCTCAGATCTGAGTGCTGTTTTAAATCACTGGCAGATTTAACTGTAATCTTAGATTTTTTTCCTTCCAGGTTCTTGTTAACTACAAGTTTTAATTATAATTATGCTTCAACAAGCTTGTGCTGGACTTCCTCATTTGTCAAATTGAGCTTAACAAAGTTAGAAAGTCCAATGAGAAACCCCCATTTTGAAGCTGCAGAAGGGTGGCCCGTTGGCACTCTGTCATGTTTGTAACCCAGAATTATTGTTCCCAGGGCTCCATTTGGTTCTGTGCAGTCTTCCTGCTCTTACACATAGTAAAGCTGCATTGCACAGATGAAAGAGCCTGTCTTTTCCCCTTCTCTGTGTAGGTGGTAACCCTAATGCCAAGGGAAAGAGCTGCTACTTGGGCATTGACTTCCTCACTGTGTCTCAAGATTGGAGTTTTTGACTATAGTTAATAATATATTGTTAACTAAGAGGGTTTTGTTTTGTTTGTTTCTACTTGGTACTGGGGATTGAACCCAGGAAATGCTGAGCTACATTCCCAGCCCCTTTTTTAAGTTGCCCAGGCTAAGCTTGAATTTTTCATCCTGCCTTGGCCTCCCAGGTAATGTGTAACTGGGGTTACAGGTATGCACTGCCCTTCCTGGCAATAATGTATGAGTTCTTGAAAAATGCTGAGAGTGGTGGATGTAATGTGTTCTCATCATAAATAGATAACTATATGAGGTAATGTATTAATTAGCTACATTTAGTCATTCCACAATGTATATAACTTCAAAACATATTGTGCAGGGTAACTACATATAACTTTATTGATTAAAAAATTTAATATACTTTTTTTCACCCAGATTCCCTCCCCCAAAAAAAGATTTGAATTAGTTTACAGTTGGTAGCTACCTGGATATATCATGAATCTATTAAAAATAAAGTGTTGGGCCAAAGATTTAGCTCAGTGATTCCACCATAGGCCTCACAAGTGCAAGGTCCCAAGTTCGATCCCCGGAACCAAAAAATAAAGTGCTTAATGGTCTTTCCTATGCTTTATAGAATATTACCCTCCCCACCCCAGTTCTTAGTAGTATCTGTCTCTAGCCCTGTCTTTTACTGGAATTTAGAAATAAATGAGTAGAATCTGCAGTCCAGCAAGGTCCCCAAATGATTACAGTTTCCGTAGAAACCATTGAAGGCTTCTCAATTAAAACTGTCCCTGCAGACTAGGGAGAATAAGTATTAAAATGAGTTTGAGAAGCCAAATTCTCACCCACCCTATTAAACTCAGAAAGGTCAAATGATCAAGGAATCTAGTGATAGTTGGGGTCATAATATTTTGCCTTTTGGAGATGAATTTTGTCTTGATATTTCAGACACAAGGATGTTTGTTTGCTTGTTTGCTTGCTTTGCAGAGCTGCTCAGATAATTGTTCCTATTATCTATGAAGGCTAAGCCCTTTGTGTGCAGCCATGGATCATGGAAGGTGGGAACAATCTGATCCTTGCTCAGACTTGAGTATGAGTCAGAAATAAAAAGACCATTAAAAATGGATGAAATCATAGAATAGTCTTAACTTGGAAGGAGCCTAAAGGTCATTAAATCCCAACTTCCCAGCCACTTGGGGATCTTGCCTAGAACACAGCTGAGAGGTCACCACGTCAGCTGCCCATAAAAGGAACCTGTGTTTCTGTGGGCAGCCATGTCTAGTTACTGCCAGAGACCTGGTGGTGATAGAGATGGAACTCAGTCCCTCTCTGGCACTTCCACCTCTGCTACCTCCTCTTTCTGGTGCCAAGTAAATCAAGTCTACTATTTATCCCATTAATAAGTTAGCTTTTTGCATTTTAAGAGTATTATCATGTACCCCCAAACCCTCTCTCCAGTAGCTGAACAAGTCCAAAACTTTAAGACTTTAACCTTGGTGAGGGGAAAGGTTGGTTTTCTTCTAACACTGGGCCCTTAACATCGTTTTGTCTGACTTCTCTGGCAAGTTTTTTCTGTGTCATTTGTACTATATAGGTGGAGAATTGGTCTCCTTATATCTATGTTTCCTTCAGCCTTTGCCCACCTGTAGTGAGCATTCCTAGTTCAGAGCTTGGAAGCCTATGAAACACAAGATTGGACCAAGCCATTGGTCTGTGCAGTCCCATAGAGGGTGTGGCTGCCTTCAGTGATGTCACTAGACAAGTGGGTGACCATACCCTCCATTTCCCGTGCTTTGATAACCTCTCAGTCCATAGACCCTTGACCTTTTGGAGCCCTTTGTTCCTTTATTTGTATGTGTTCTGTTATTAATATGCTGCTGTTGTTCTTAAGTTGATGTGCTCCTAAAAAGCAAACAGAAGAACTTAACAAAATACTCCACATGTTTCTGCAATATTAAAATGGATTGAAACTTGAAACTCCTAACCTCAGGTGTTGATTAGCATCAACTGAGAAGCACTTGGTAAGGAAAAAGTACTGAAATAGACATTCCGCTCTGGTTCCAGAATAACCAATCATGTGACCTTTACCTCGTCACCAGTCTGCTCTGAGTTCCATTTTCCTCAAGTATAAAATCAGATGAATAGCTCTTAGTCTTCCAAGTTGTTGGAAGTGCCTTGACAACAAACATTTAATATTATTTTACAGGCAGCTACACCATGATGCTCTGGAGGTATTTTGATTGGGAGTTGAAAACAAATTTAATCAAAACCTAAAAATATTGATAATATTGGGCATTTAAGCCTCAGTTTCAAAATAGTAGTATCTGGTCTCTATGAATGAATAATTAGTATATACATCATTTTGGAGGAAAAATATCTCATCATTTCTAACAGGTTCTGGGGATATTTGATGTGGTTTCACACTATAGGGAGAAAGGATTTCAGTAAGTGCACTGTGGAGAAATACAATTAAATTACTCTGGGCTTCTTTGGTAGTTTAGGGTGGAGAATAAAAGGGTTGACGTTTTTTAGTTGTTAGGAAGTACTTCTGAGAACTAAAAGTAGAACCAACATCCATCAGCACAAATCACGTAAGTGAGCTTTGGGGGTCTGTGTCTTCACAGGCTCTGCTCTGATGGGTCCTGAGGTTCAGATTTTTCCTATTAGAGCCAGGAGGTTCTCTGAAGTGGGCAGCTGCCAACATCTGCAGGCCTGGGACTGAGAATGATGCCCCTTCCTTTGAGGGTCACGGTGTATTTCTCACACTTTTTTTTTTTTTTTTTGGTACCGGGGATCAAACTCTGGACCTTGCGCTTGTGAGCTAAATCCCCGGCCCTCTCACACTCTTTTTCACTCAACACCACTTATACTTGAGGACATAGAAGAAAAGGTAATATCCATGTTTCTCTCTGTACAAGGTCTGATGGGGTGTTTTTTTTTAGCTTTGTATAATTTTGCCAAAAAGATAAGTATATTTAGATCTTGAAAAATCAGCAGATATATTTCCTGCCTTCCTTTTCCCTTTCCTTGTTATCTTTTCTCCTTCCTTTCTTCCTCCCCCTTTTCTCTTCTCTTTTCTTCTTCCTTTCTTTCTCCTTCCTTCCCCTGCCTGGTCTGCTCTTGTCTCCTTTTCTTTCTTTTTTCTTTGCAGTGTCTCATATATGCTGCCTGATAATCAAATGATCTCTGAAGCTTTTCTTTGGGAAAATGCAAAAGGCAAATGTAGTAGTCCACACTTGTGAGCACACAACTCTCACATCCCAGCATATTATGTGTTCTTTTCTGTTCCAGGGAGTTCTGTCCAACATCTCCTCGATCACTGACCTCGGCGGCTTTGACCCAGTGTGGCTCTTCCTAGTGGTGGGAGGAGTGATGTTCATCTTGGGGTTTGCAGGGTGCATTGGGGCACTGCGGGAGAACACCTTCCTCCTGAAGTTTGTAAGTATCTCTCTCTGCTCTCAGCTTGAGAGTCCAGACTCTCACATCAAGAGGTGAGATGGTGCCATACCATAGCCACTCACAGAAGCAGGACCAGGTCTTGTTTATCTTGCAGAAGGCCCTGTATATCATCCTCCCTCCACCTCCACCCTGGACATGCCTCCTTCATAATAGCAGTATCCCTACCCCGTGCCATTCATAGAGGGTTAGTATGAGCACGTCCTCCTCCTCCTCTTTGTGATTTCCTCTCACTTTTACACACACAGTAAATACCAAGCTGTGCAGGTGGTTGGTCTAGAGAACCATGCATGAACACAGGGACACTGACCTCTCTAGCTTAAACCTGTAAGCAGTAGGTTTTAGTAAATATGGAGAACAGTAAAAGTAAATCTCTATTGTACGTAACCAGTACAAAGTTCTCCTTCATAGGACGGACATAATATTAAGATCCTTTACGGAATCTTTGTTTGTTATGAATAATGCAGTTACAGTGGACCCTCAAGTTACGACCAGCCTGACACATGAACAACTTGAGTTAATTAGGTTAATGGAAGATTCATCTGCCTACTCTGATCTATAGTGTATACTGAGGTAAACATCCAGAGCTCAGCTGTATTGACTTAGTTAACAGCCAGCTCTCAAGAACCGATTGAGTTCATAAGTCAAGGGTCCATTGTAACAAGAATATAGTGGTGTCTCAGTTCACGAACTCAAATCTCCACATGATTCTGGTCACAAGCTGAACTGGAAATTTCCCCATAAGATCAACATTGAACCTAACCATTGGATTTGATTCAGTTCTCGTCCAACTCAATTTGCAACCAGAACTGTGGAAAGAATCAGTTTCATGAACCAAGAAGGTACCACTTATATTTGTAGATGAGGGATTTCACTAGGCATAAATATTAAAAGTGAAAGTAGAGAATGAAAAGTAAAAGCTTGTCCTTTGGAGATCCCTTCCAAGAACACTTGGCATATGATACATTTTTGTGTCTGTAGTAAGATAGTAACTGTAGTTAAAAGCCAGATGAGTGTGCTTATAAGTGTGCAACTTGGCACTATGGTCCTATGTATGAAGTGTCCACTACCCTCAAGAACAGAGAAAGGATCAAAAGGACACATCCTCCAATGGTAAGGGAAGATGCTTAGGAATTTCCAGAGAGCAGTTTTTCTACAACATTGCCCATTACTAGAATCACTCTTAACCTTTATTGACACAATGTCATCTAATGCAGTGATGGCAAACCTATGGCACGTATGTTTTTAAGACAAAAGATCTTAATGTATGAGTTGTTCTTTCTAAACTAAAACCTCAGTATTCAGGTTTAATCATATTGTTGGCACTTTGTGATAAATAAATGAGTTTTGGGTTGCAGTTTGGGCACTTGTCTCTAAAAGTTCGCCATCACTGATCTAGGGTCATTTTCATTTAAAACCAAAGCATATTCTAGAACTAGTCCTAACAGCCATTCAGTATGTGATTCTCCTCTCCATCATCCTCTGACATCTTTCCTTGAAAATCCCTTAAGAAGACAGGACTCACTGTGCCCGCCCTGGGTACCCCATTTCCAATTTGGGCAGCTCTGGCTCATGAAGGTCATGGGGACTATTATTCTGAAAGTTCACTTGGCTCGTGCTAGCGGGGAAATCTAGAGGTGCTTGTGCTTGGTCTTAGGCACAACTTAATGACAGCTACTTCTCGGTTCTGGTAGTGGACCCTGCTGGGAGTGGGTAGTTTCCTAAGACTCTCTGGTTGGCCTGCAGATCATCCTTTTAAAGACACACACACTTCATCCTCCACCTGGTCAGAGACCTATGGGACCCGTGGAGCACTTTATCCCTGACCACACCTCTGCCAGCCCACCAGTCTTCATGGCAAGAGGCAGCTCTAAAGGCTGAGTCCATCTTACTCAGCTTCTAGGTAACCTGTTTGGGCCCTGTCTTACTTACCTGCAGGTGTAGCCTCCATGCCGCAAAATCTGGAATCCCCTTTAATATGATTCACTTGAATATAGTTTTCATTTATAATAGCGCTCCCTTTATAAATCCACTGTTGGAAATGAATTATGTTGTTTCTTGGCTTTTTAAAGTCCGTGAGAATACTTTAAATGGCCTCTCTATATGTAAAAACAGGACTAGAATATTTTGGGGGCTATGAGAAACAAGTGAATGTCACCATGCCTTTGAACAGCCTCAGAGATCTGATGTCACAAGACTGGAGGGTTGCAGAGGGAAAACCCAGGAGCTAAGACACTGAAATAGAAGCAGAGATTCATGGTTAGGCCCTAGATGAAGCCTATAAGTCAATTACTGTACCTTTGAACATAGGGGAGTTCACTCACAGGCCTGGGATGTGCAGATTCCTTGATATGGATTCAGTTCCTTGAATTTGGATTCAGTATTTGATATGTATATTATGTTCATGAGAAAATTTACCAGGGGAACTGGAAAATGAACTTACTAACCTTTACAGAGGTGAAAACAAATATCTCCTTAAGAACTTTACACAGCTTCTGCCTTGCTGGTTTGTATGGACACAGATGTACACAAGCTGTGATTTTTATCATTTCTGTGGTGGAATTGCTGGCATATTTGCATGTTTAGGGTGGTCCTCAGAAAAGGAAAGGGAATTGTTTCATACTAGGAGGGAGCATTGATCAAAAGTGGCATGATGTGTTTTCTGATCTTTTTTCTCTATTAAGTAAAGCTTAATTTGAAGTCTTTGGTATCACTGAGTGATAATTCAGAACTATTTAAATTTCATTTCCTGTGAGCTCACTGAGGACGGATAACGAGAAGCTCTAAAGAGCTGAGCTGGTGTGTCTAGAGTTGGGGCCTCAGCCTTGGGGGCCCTGACTTTGCCAGGCACTGATTTCCCCCTGGCCCTCCTCCCATGTCCCTCCTCACAGCACAGCCCCATGGTCCCTAGATGAGTGCTGTGCCCTGTGATGAGTGGAATGGCCCCATCCATCTCGCCTTCCCACATGCATCCTCCACCCACCCCAGATTAGGTAAGACTGTGTTCGTCTTTGACAGCAGGGGCCTGGTCTTACTCACCCTTGCTTCTGCAGAACCCAGTTTGCCACAGGGCCTGAACCACTGTGGGTCATACAGTAAACATTTGCTCCTTGAACAAATGTGTTTTTTTTTTTATTAATTTTATTGGCACATTTTAGGTATACAATATAATAGCATTCATCATTGGAAATTTGCACCTTTATATAATCTCTCTTGGTTATTTTTTCCCCCTTCCCCTGCCCTCCCTTCAACCCCTCCATCTCTCCCTATTTATAAAGACTTTGATTCCATTTTTTCATTTTCTCATACTAATTCCATTCGCTTCTTTCCTTTCCCCTATGAACAAATGTTTTTGCCATTTTTTTTCTTTTGCTAAGCAATTATATTGTTTCCTTTGCATCCCTTCCCCTGTGCTTAGTCTCTTGGCTGGCTGCTTGGTTTCTGCCTGCTGAGTCCCCTCTGCCTCCTCAGCCACTCACTGTTTTGTAGCTACAGAGCTCTGCCCAGCAGGTGTGACCCCAGTGTCACCATCCATCATCATCGCCAGAAGAGTCTGCCTGTGGTGTCCCTCTGCTCCCTCACAGCCCCACTTCTCATAAGCTGTTTTAGCATGAGAGTTGGAGAGGGTCAGGACGTGGGAGCGGAGGAGGTGGAAGGAACATGAGTCAGTATGACTTAAGAGGAGGCTCTTCCGAGGCTTCTACATGGAAGAGAAATTTCTCCAGAGTTACGAGCAATTACCACACGTCTCATGAGTGCTAGCCTTCAAGTTGTGTTATCTCCATTAGCCAGAAGTCTCACTTTGGCTGAATTTTGATGTCATTTAAAATGTTTCCTGAGTTCAGTACTCCTAAGAGGAAGGCAAGTAAGTGCAGCTGGCACTAGGAGAACGCCTTTAACCTGGTTTCACTGTGCTTTTGCGGCTGAAAATTATGCTTATGTCATGGTCACACCCCCCCCCCACATTTCCTCTTTGACCTCTCCATCCAAGATGAACAGATCTGTTATTTCACACTGCAAAGCAGGTGCAAAAGAAAATCAGAATGGTGTTTTAATCCATAAAAGGGATATATTGCACACAGAATCAAGGCCACAATAACAAATGACAGGTGATTATAAAATATTGGGATGATCTTTAACTTAGGAGAAGGCTTAGTAAAGCAGGGGCAGGTCACTGCTGAAGTGCCTGGCAGTGTATTAATCACGAGAAATTCATTAGGCCTTGATGTGGGTCTACTGAGCAATTCCTAGTATTCATGTTTGCTTATGGGCTTTGTTGGTTAATTATCAAATGAAACACTAGAGACTCTAGAATGTGATTATGAAGTGATTTTTAATTTTTAAAATCCTTTCTTGGAATGTAATATTCTATTAAGAAATCTTGAGAAACTGAAGATTATCTGCTTTGGAGATGTGTAACAATCGAATATAATTACAAACCTTTTCAGAGGGGAACCATTTAACTCCATATGATCAAAACAGCCCTTATAACTACTCTCTGTGTGTGTGTCTTTTGTCTTAGTTTTCTGTGTTCCTGGGAATTATTTTCTTCCTGGAGCTCACTGCTGGGGTTTTGGCATTTGTTTTCAAAGACTGGATCAAAGACCAGCTGTATTTCTTTATAAACAACAACATCAGAGCATACAGGGATGACATTGATTTGCAAAACCTCATAGACTTCACCCAGGAATATGTAAGTTTAAATTTGGTTTATTCTCAAGTTGACAGTCTTCTCAAAAGGATGACTTCTATAATACTCTTCTGGCTCTGCATCTCTGCCAGCTGGAAATTACCTCTGACTTTTCTGCATGGCTTTTTGTTTGTTTATTATTTTCTCACTTACTTTATGACTTACAGGATTTGTATCCTACATGGAAATGTTCTGCTTTTACTTATTTCAATTTCTGTTCAGTTAGAGGAACAAAGAGGGCAGCTCTTAAGCAAAAGGTGATAATCACAGCTGTTCTTGCCTATCTGCCTTTGAAGACAGCTGTTTTGCAGTAGGCATAATGTTTTATTTGGCTATTAAATATGAGTTCTTTATCATTCCTCATCACCCTTTTTTGTAACCTTCCATGCTTCACAGGTCATACTGATATATTTAATAGGTTCCAAAAGGTTCCTAAAAGATGCCTACCCAATATTATACCGAATGCAATTAAAACCAAAAGTTTAGAAGCTCCTTAGCTCCAGGAGAGGCTCTAAGCAGTGGAGAATCTGTGCAAGAGTCCTGCCCAGCCCTCAGCTGTCTGAACCTGACTGTGTAACGGCTCCTGCCATGCAGAGGGAGCGGTAGAGCCCATTGCACTCAAAATCAAAGTGGTAAAATGGAGGGCCTAGAGATACAAGGTCTTGGTGACCTTGGGCTCACAGAACATCAGTAGTAAAATGGAAATAATGATAGATACTGTCTAACTTGTGGGGAATCATGACGCTCTCATGAGATGTGCGTGGTTTTATTGGGCCTGTGTGGGTTGGACAGTTCTCCAGAATGCACTGGGGCCACCTTGGACAAAGGGAGGACATCCTCATTTGTGCCCAGCACCAAGCTGAGCTGCGTTAGTTCTCTTTGGTGGTGGCAGCAGGTGCCTGGGGTAAGTTGTGCTTTAGGTGTGAGGTTGAGTCTAGGTCAGGGGTGCAAGTCCACACCTCCCCAAGTGGTTTCCTGCACTGTTTGGATGACACATCTGATGGAGCTTTGTACATATCAGGCCCATGTCCGGTTCCGCGGCCCAGCCCTGGAGGGCCAGATGAATCTCAAGAACATGCATCTGTGTGTTCTCCTGAAACACTAGCTACTCGGCTCCAAAATACTGTTGTTTCACAGGATTATATTTGTCTAAAATGGAGTTTAATCCTTTGAAGTCATGATTGGTCCTGAAAGGCTTAAAATAGTCAAGGCTTGGTATTTATTTAAGTCAGAACTAAAGGTGGTTAAGCTCAGGGGAGTGAGAAAAGGGCTAATGGGATAAACCTTGAATCAAGCCCCATTTATGACTGAATTTAACAGCTTATTTTATCATTTTTTAATTAGTTAATTTACTTTTTCAAGTTGAAAATGTAAACACATGTTTTTGTTTTTAATAATTCAAGGTAGAAACAAACCGTAATGAAAACTAAGCCTGAGGCCAAGGACATACTGTATTCTCTATCTTTTGTTTGTTTTCGTGGCACTGGGAGTTGAACCCAGGGCATTGTTTATGCCAGGCAAGTGCTCTGCTACTGACCTACATCCTAGCCCAGATGTCCACTGTATTGATTTGGATAACAGTTTCACAATGTATGTATGTCAAAACTTATCAGATTACACACTTTGAAAATGTGCAAGGTACTGTCGGTCAATAAATTGGGTTTTTAAAAAACATTAACGTATGGATATCAAAACTTTAACCCCACTACAACCTCAGTTGCCTTCTTTGGACAGTACCACTGTTGTTAGTATCTTATATATTCTTTTAGAATGTTCTTATCTATCATTCTAGAATGTACACAAGCCAAACAGGTCTTGTTCTGAGCCCTGGCTGAACAATGCTGTTTCCTTCTCCCTCTTATTCTCATCAGTTGTTTAAATCACATGCTGACAAACCTTTAGAAAGCTTCAGCCTTACTTTGGAAGCTTTTTGCAAGGGCTATTTAGGTTCAGCTTAAAAATGATTCTGTGACAGAAGAAAACGTTGGAGGTGGCAGGGGCTGGGAGCTGTTCTGGAGGGCATGCGGGGTGTGAGCACAGGCGTCTGGCCGCTCCAAGTGGAGATGTTCTAATTCTCTCCTGTTTACTCTAGTGGCAGTGCTGTGGGGCTTTTGGAGCTGATGATTGGAACCTAAATATTTACTTCAATTGCACAGATTCCAATGCAAGTCGAGAGCGATGTGGCGTGCCGTTCTCCTGCTGCACTAAAGACCCCGCGGTAAGCAAAAACTGCAAATTGGTGGCCTCTACGCATCACACTGCATGTGTGCAGATGGGCCAGAGGTGTTTTCTCATGAAAATGCTTCTTACCTGCTTGTGCCTAATTGGAGCTCCTCTACCAAGTACACCATTCAGATCTTTCGGAGAGAAGCAATAACTGCAGGGGTTATTTCAGCGAAACATCCTGGTTTGTACTCAAAGCCTATATGCATTATACTTATACTAGGAGCCACCACTGTTATCCTCCCCTATTAGGAAAGAACCCAAGACACAGAGAATGTGAGGGACTTGCCAAGCTCACACTCAACGAGTTAGAGCAGGGTGCCACCCCAGGCACCCTCCTTTGTCACTTATCATCTCTTCCATAGGGAGCACAGGCTCATGTGAGAGTGCAGGGCCAATAGTTTGGGATTTATAACCCTTTTCTTCTGGGTAAGTTCCAGAGGTAACATAAAGAGCAGGATGAGTTTAAGACAGGATTGGGCTGGACTCCTTAGACAGATCACAGCTGCCTGGATTTGAGTGTCATACTTACTACTGTTCATGTTTTGTTTTTAAAAAGAAGACGTGTAAAATCCATTCATAAGCCACCCCCTTCACCACAGCTTTGGTTAGAGATGGGTCAAACCATGCTCCTGGTGTGTAGAATGACTGCAGGTGCAGCCCTGTCTGCAGGTGAGAGGCCAGGCTCGCCCACTGGTAGGATGTGGGTGTTTTCGGGGTGCTCCTGCACTCGCTGGGGAGCTTGTGGCTGCATCCTGTCTGGACTTGTCAGCCTTTGTGTGGCCCCTTCAGTCCCCAGTGTCCTCCCCCAGGCCTGCCCTTGCCCCAGGAAGCAGAGCTAAGTGGGTACAGTGAGGGCACGGTCTTGGAGGCAGCAGACCTTCCTGCAGGCTGCCAGGCAGGAGTCGTCCTGCACAGTTCTCTTGGGCCGCAGGAGATAGAATCAATGAGGATGTGCTTCCTGAACCTGATTCCTTCCTGCTGGCTCTTTCCTCCCAGGAAGCCAGCTGGCTGCATAGTGCTCACCTCTGAGCTTGAGGTACCCACCAGATCCCCTGTCGCCAGATCCCTGTGTGGTTCCTCCCCATCTCCAGCCCCTGCCTGGCTAGCAGTCCCCTAGAGGAACTCAAAAGTGCTCAGGAGCTTTATGCCTCTACTTCAGTCACAGATTTTCTTGTTCTGTGAACTCAGAGATAATAAAACCTACTTTATCCCCACAGAGGGAAGACAAGGTAACTTTAAAAAGCAGAACCCGCTTTTCTGATCAGATCTGAGAGGTGTTAGGGTGCCCTTGTGTTATGTGATCAGGGCAGTGTTTTGTTTTTCAATTACTAAAGTAAGGTAATCTCATTGAAAAACAATTTAAATAATACAAAAGTTTGTAGAATAAAAAGTATGCTTGGCATGCACAAGGTCCTGGGTTTGATCCTCAGTGTTATTAAAGAAAAAAGAACAAAGGAAAGTAGAGAGTCTTCCCAAAAGAGAATAAATGAAGGTAGTCACTGTGTCCTTTCAGTTTGGTTTTTATCCACATTCACATTTCCCTAAACCCCATAAGCTTCTTGAAGTTGGAGACACTTTGAATCTTGAGCTTCCTTTTTTCGTAAAAGAACTTGCTATTCTTTTTGATATTCCCTGAGCCTCAGTTTGTCTCATTTGTAACATAGGGCATATTTAAATACCAACTTGTGAAGATTGTCACAGTAACAAGCTTAAATATCTCATGGTTTCTCTTATGTGAGCAACCCAAAATGTAACTAAAGAGGAAAATAAAAGAGAGCTAATAAGAAATAGGGAGATAGATGCTTCCCATGTGAGAGGGGATTAGGAGATGAAGGGGTAAGAGGAAGAGGTTGAAAAAGAAAATTACGATGTTTCATGTACATGTGCCAAATCCCCATGAGGAGTGGCCTGGAATCACTATGTATTGGAAACACGTACTAATAAAAAATAAAAAGGGAAAAGAAAGAATTGTGTGCATAACACATACAAAGTTTGTAATATACAGCCATGGTCTGTGACCTGATGCACACTGTATCGATGGCACCTGACGGGTCTACCGAGCATTCCCCGCCAAGCTTCCTGTTTACCAGGAGTGAGTGTCACTGTTCTCTTTGTTTCTTCCCCAGGAAGATGTCATCAACACTCAGTGTGGCTATGACGCCAGGCAGAAACCAGTAAGTGGACTTTTAGCACGAAGGGTGTAAGCAGGAGCTTTGCACACACACAGGGCTGTACCGATGACCTCTGCTATCCTCTTCCCTTCTGAAGGAAGTCGACCAGCAGATCGTAATCTACACAAAAGGATGTGTGCCCCAGTTTGAGAAGTGGCTGCAGGACAATTTAACCATCGTGGCTGGCATCTTCATAGGCATTGCACTGCTGCAGGTAAGATAGGCACCCCTAAGGGGGAGCACAGGAAGCAGCTCCCAGGAGAGCCCTCACCAGGACAGGAGCTTTGCTAGCTCACCTGAATGTCACTGCTTATGACACATTGGAGGGCTGGGGACAGACCTAAAGTATTTGGCTTGCATTTTACTAAGGGTCTGCTGAGATCCTGAAATATTTTAGGAAACTGTTTTCCTTTTCAAGGTGGAGGACCGGGTCACTAGTTACCTGCTGCTATTCTGTCATTCTTGTAGGCTTCATGACACTGCATGGTGGTAACTGGGGCAGACATTGGGTGGTCAGCATGGAGCCCGGTGAGGGGCCGACACTTTGAGAGTTCCCAAGATGCTGTGCCCCTGTGACTCCCTGGACCAGCTTGTTGAAGTGCTAGCCAGAGAGGGAGGGCACATGTCCTTCCAGGTGGCCTAATGGCTGGGCTCTTTGTGCCGATAGGACACTTTCCTTAGAAGATCACAAACAGGGCACATCAAGGAGACCTAAATAAATGGAAAGATATCCCTATCACAATTGCAATTGGCTTTTTATCAGTAATGGACAAGCTATTCTAAAATTCATACGGAAGTGCAAGGGACCCAGAATCGTCAAAACAAACTTGAAAAAAAAGAACGAAGTTGGAGAATTCACACTTCCCAATCAAAACTTATCACAAAGCTACATCAGTCAACATGCTGTGCACTTCAGTAACTTTAGCCGCTATAGACCTGTGGGATAGAACTGAAAGTCCAGACATGGCCTCATGTCTGTGGTCAGTTAATTTTTGACAAGGGAACCCAAATCATTCATAGCAGAAAAAATGGTCTTTTCAACAAATAATGCTAGAAACACTGAATATTCACATGCAGAAGAGTGAATTTAGACCCCTACCTCATCTCATGTATAAATACTAACATAAAATAAATCAAAGATATAAATATAGACAGGCAGACATGGTGGGAATGCCTATACTCCAGTTATTTGGGTGAACTACTTGAGTGTACAAGTTTGAGGCCAGTCTAGGCAACATCTTAAAAAAAAAAGACCTAAATATGATATTTAAAGCTGTGAAATCCTAGAAGAAGCATAGGTAGCATAGGTGAAAATTGTGATTTGGGGTTAGGCAGTGTTTCCTTAGATATGACACCAAAAGCACAAGTAACCAAAGGAAATATAGGTAGATGGGATTTCGTCAAAATTAAAATTTTGTGTGCTGAAAATGATACTCTCAAGAAAGTGAAAAGATAACCCACAAAATTGTTTACAACTGAACGATAAAAAAGACAAATCCAATTATAAAATGGACAAAGGGTCTCAGTACATATTTCCTTAAAGAAGATCAAAATGGCTAACATGCACAAGAAGAGATGGCAGCATCATTAATAATTTAAAATGCAAATCAAGGCTAGGGTGAGACGCCATTCCATTTCAACTAGGATGGTTGTAATAAAAAAAAACCAACAATAACAAATGTAGGTTAGGGTGTGGACAAACTGGTATTCTCACGCATTGCCAGAGGGAATAGAAATGGTGCATCCTATGTGGAAAACAGTTTGTCAGTTCTTCAGAAAATTAAACATAGAGTTACAAGCACTTCTAGGAATGTACCCAAAGGATTGAGAACATTTATTCACAAAGAAAAACTTGTACATAAATGTTCATAGCAGCATTACTCATAATAGCAAAAAATAGAAATAATACAAATATCCTCTAACTGATGAGTAGATAATTAAAATGTGGGTTATATGTAAGATGGAACATTATTCAGGTATTGAAAAAGGAACAGGCTGGCCAGACATTGTTTTCAAGAGTCAGCATGACTTTCTGCTTCTACAGTGCGTAGAGAGAACATGACAGTCATCTCCCACTTGAGCGGGCCACTCAAAGCCAGGACCTTCACTGCCTCAGACCACCCCAAGGTCCTCTCCACTGCACTGCTCTTCCTTCTCAGCCACCCCTGCACCCCTCCTGTGTGCACCAGGACTTGAGGCCACCTTGGCCTCCGCCTCACCCTGGAGCTCAATGCCTCCTGTGTTTGTCCACACCCACTGCTTTCCTGGTGATGGTGTAGCTTTCCAGAGCATTGCAAAACTATGCTGTCCAGTGTCTCGAGGAGAGGGAGCCACGCACCGATAGAGCTGCAGAGCCAGCCTTCAAGACACCAGACACCAAACCTCAACAGGGAGCACCACTGAGGAGCGGTAGGGTGTGGGTTACACTGAGACAAAAACACAGATCCGTCACTACTGGGATGGCACATGCCGACCACTGGCAAAAATGACCCTACTGTGTGACTTCACTGAGACTCACTGCCGGAATGAACAGGGTCAAAGAACTGACCGACCACATGACAAAGGTGTGCAGGTTGTAGCCCCAGAAACTGTTGTAGCAGAATCTGTCTACCAAGTGTACCCTGGGAGACAGTGGCAAAGACAGCTGAGTCTTAGGGTGCCTTCCCCCAGCCATGGGGCGACTTCCCTGGTCACCCAGGCAAGGAGTATCAGGTTCTCCTCAACTTTTCTATAGGTTATTCCAGAACACTGATTTAAGTCCTTGAATTTGTGCTCTACTCCCTCAAAGAAATCTGGGGCTGGGAGTGGTAGCACACGTCTATAATCACAGCACTCTGGGAGGCTTAGATAGGAGGCTTGCATGGCCGAGCCCACCCTGGGCAATTTAGACCTCATCTCAAGATAAAAACTAAAAAGGACTGGGGCTGTAGCTCATTGTGGAGATCCTAGGTTCAATCCCCAGTACAGCAAAAAGAAAAAAATCCAAAGAAGGAGTGAACCATTGATAGAAGCAGACACCAGCATTGCATAACCTGAGAGTCTGTTGGCCTGCGATATCCAGGATGGACGAATCCTAGAGACACAACAGAGGAGTGAGTGCCAGGGCTGTAGGGATGGGGCAGTGGGAAGGACTGTTTATGGGCACGAGGTTTATTTGGGGGCAGTGGAAATGTTCTATAATTAGATATGATCGTTGCTAGCTTTGTGAACATACTGGAGCCCGCCAAGTTATGTGAAATGGATGTGTTTTACCATATATGAGTTGTATACCAGTTTTAAAAAATCAAATTACAACAGTGGGACACAGTAGCCAAGGAGAATCCCCATGTTAAGGACTTCATTGTCTGACTTACTTCTTTCTCTGTTCTCAGATTTTTGGGATATGCCTGGCCCAGAACTTGGTTAGTGACATTGAAGCTGTCCGGGCCAGCTGGTAGACCCCTGCAGCAGCTGCTTCGGAACACTGGACTGACCCAGCCCCGCGGCCTCCTCTTGCCCAACTGACACCCAGGCTGCATGGACCCACACAGTCACACAGGTGTCCTGCACCCCACCAAACAGAGCTGCCAAAAACTTGTTTTTTGTGGGGGGTAAAACTGGGAAATGCTGCTCACTGACAGAATTTTTTTTTTAAATCCAATATGAAAGCTATTGCGCCATGAATCTCTACTGTAGCCATGAATTTATGAGTGGATGGATGCCTGCCAAAAAGGAAAAGAAGGGAGGGCATGGTGTCCACATTTACTTGAATTTGTGGAGAACCCAGTCCTGGCCTCCTCCTCAGTGACCAGAGGGTAGGCAGAGGCAGGTCTGCTCTTGCCACTCCTTGGAGGGCCAGCCTGGTGTCCTGTGGCCTGATGATGTGTGACTCCTGAGACCCAGGCCTTTCCCTGGGAGTGCAGTGGGGCGCGGGGGGGGCATCCTCCCTGTGCCTCAAGGAACTGCTGCAACTATCAGTGGATGCAACTATCAGTGGAAGAAGAGGACGGATTGCCTGTGGGTTCACATTTTGCTGTCCTACAGAGCAAGTGACATGGGTGGGTCTGTGGTCTGTCCTTGAGCACAGCCTTCTAAGAAGCTATGTCCACCAAATGGGCATTGGTGACTTTGTGACACCATATCCTAGCAGGACTGATCTTTTTTCTAAGTAGGCCTGAACTTTATTTATCATTGAAATCCAAGGAGAAAATGAGGTTAATGAGAGGTATTAATTAAATACTTACTCCCTCACCCCACCCCAGCAAGTTAGTGGTTGGATGCTTTGAAATACTCTGGATTGTGTTGTTTTGTTATGTTCGTAGGGTTTTTTGTTTTTGTTTCCCAAAGGTGAAGGGTATGATATGGTCGCTCTTAAATTTTGGAAGTGTTTTTTTACTGGGCTCAAGTTTTTTTATAAGTTTAACTTGCATGACCTGTGAATTTGAATTCACCATCTCCTTTTCCTGCCATCTTCTACAGACATTGAAAAACATGGGTTAGCATTTATTCCGTGGGTTTAGTCTGGAGGTTGTGGCCTGTGGTCCCAGGGTGGCTGGAAAGAGACCAGCTCTGCCGCCTCAGTGGCTTCCATGGCATCTACCACCTCTTCCAGGGTCAAACTCAGTGGCCTCGTCCACACGTTTTTCTTCTTTCTCTTTGAGTGGAATTAAACCCAGCTCCAAAATAGTGTTGACACAATCAGATGCTTCTAATAGGTTTTTTTCTTAAAGATTTAGTTTAATTTTTTTAAAAAGTTTATGGCCAGAGCTCCTTCTGTCCTCCCCCTGCAGCTAGCCAGCAGGGTGGGAACAAAGCACAAACCCTCTGGAGCAGATGTGGAGATGCTGGCAGGTGTTCTGTGACTCAAGGCAGGAAGCCAGGTGCTGCCAGTCCTGCCTCACTTCTGGGAGGAAGGGGCCCTTTTGCCCCCCAGATTTTAATCCACCCGGTGTCCACTGATGTCCTCCTGTGGAGCAGATGTTAGTCTGTGGAACACTGGGAAAAACACAACATATTTCACACTGGTGCCACGTTTGCCAGCAAATAACTGGGCAGCCAGCTGGCATACTTGGTGGGCTGATGAATGTGTCAGAGAAAGGACAAAAGTTCCTCTAAAGTCTCGTCACCACAGTTTGGGTTTTTGTGTGACTCTGCATGTGTGTTTGTGTCTCTGTATAGGTAGAGATGTTCATTTCATCTTCATATTCTGATGTGAGAGTATCTTATTTCCTCCCTGCCCACAGCACAGTTGGCATATTTTAATGTCCTTCCAACATGGAGAAGACAGGAGCTTTCTAATTGGCACTTTTGTCTTCTTTGTTACCTCATTCTCCAATGTACTCCATCCACCAGTTGATTCAGAATCAGGCAAGATCCCCACCCTTTGACACATCCAGTCTAGGCCAAACAGCAAGTCCAAGTGAGTTTTAAATTTTAATTAATCACCTTTTATTTTTTACACATCAGAGTGATTGTAATAAAGGTGGTCATTAATAAACTTGGTTCTACCTTACATGGAGTTATGTCTGTCTTCATTACTTTTTTCTTGAAATGGTGAAATTCTCTAATTCAGAGGTTTGTAGATTGAACAGTGGGGCAGAATCACGAGAAAGGCTTATTAAAGCACAGAGGGGTATGCTGGGGCTGTAGCTCGGTGGTAGAGTACGTATATTCTTTTGCATGCACCAGGCCTTGGATTCAGTCCCCAGCCCAAATAAACCAAAGAGGATTGTATTTTCCCCATTCCCAGAATTTTTAATAGAGTAGATCCAGAATAGGGCTTGAGCATTTGCATTTCTGACAAGTTCCTGCATGATGCTGTTGTCTGGGAACCACACTTTGATTTTGACCCAGTTCTCTGGGATGGAAAGGGAAGAGGTGAAATTTTGTGGCTATGGAGGGAAAAAGTTCCTTTTTGCTACCAAATCCAGGCTGATGAGAGACAGATCCAGAGCCATTTAAATAGATCTATGTCCCTGAATTTGTCACCTGCTCAGTACACCTGATGACCACATAAAACAGATCTACAAGCCCTGCCCCCAGCGTGGGTGGGGAGCCCACAGTGTTTTTCTAAAGCTCCCATGAACACTTAGTGCACAGTGGGATTTAGGAGCTACGAGCCTGAGTAGATACACATCTTTCATTAGAAAATAGTTGTTTGCAGTGGTACTCACAGACCCTTCTCTGAATATTTAAGGCAAAAGTGTTATTTTGATTTTCAGGAAAATAGTCAACTAGTCCTCCTTCCTTGAAGTTTTAAATTACCTACATGAGGTGACCCTCCTTGATTCTCTTACAAACTCTGCCCAAAAAAGGAGAAACATTACTGCTCAGAAACACAAGGATGCATTATCTACAAAAATCAAAATGTGCAGGAAATTTCTTCAATGTGTAGAGGAAGATTATTCAATTTCCCTTTATTTTTATTTCTATTGTTTGGTTACCACAAACATTATTGCTTCCATAATATACAAATTATAAATTATTTTTAAAGAACAGGATTTAAAAGTAGAATTTTTTATTGCAAAGTGCTTGGAAGTACTCATTCTTCTCGAAGGAAATCAACTTAGACTTTTCTCTCCACTTTCTTCCCGCTGAAGGTCCCAGGCCTTCTTCCCTCAAGGGCATTCTTAAAAGTGTCTCTTGGCTTTTTCTTATTATGCAGAATGTTTGATCATTCATGCCCTGTGTTTGTGTGGGCAGGAATGGAATAATTTTTCAGTTTTGTGGAACTTCTCTCAGCAACTGTTTCCGGCTCACTTGGACAAGAGCCCTGGGAAGTCGTTGAGCTGAACAATGAGGAGCCTGGTCCCAGTGACCTGGAAGGCCCTCCCCAGTGATCTTTGTCATTTACTCCATGAAGTGCTCCTTCTCTAGGGAGATCCTGTCCAGACCACCAAGGAAGAACTGGGAACCTGTCCACAAACACTGGCCAGCAGCCTGGAAGGGGGGCCAAGGGGCTGTTTCTAGGTGCTATTCTCGGTGAAGGGGAACCCAGTGTTTGAGAAGGAAGACAGTGTTGGCCTGGAAACATCCAAATTGGTTTGCTCATGACCTAAACTGTGGAAAATGTATACATGGCCACAGACAAGGGGGTCAGATGTTCCTGGGTGAAGGAGCAGGGAAGAGAACCTTGCACAGGGACCAAAGCTGTTTTACACTCACCCTGCTTTCCTTGTTTGGAGGGGTTTGCTACAGAGGTAGAGCTTTTGAAACTAGTTTTCAGGACATTTTAATTTAAGAAATTACAGCTTCCTCTGGGGTGTTTTTGTTGAGTGGACCACTTGTGAAGTTGCCATCAATGAGAGGATGTGTGATCAGTCCATTCCTATATCCAGAAGCTCATGTTAAACCCCTCACAGTCACCAGGGCCAGTGCAATCCATGCCTCCTCTCCTGAGAACATGAGCTAAAGTACGCTGAGGAAGAGCTTTACTCTGTGTAAATGAACCCTGAAAGCAACAGCAGCTGCAAACAAGACGGTGTTTTTGGCAGGTGCCCTTTGCCCAAGGCGTGCTCGCGCTCTATTTGGGAGAAGCCTCTTAAATCTAGTGCTTGTCTTTTTGCCCAGCAACTCCTTGCAATAGGAACATTTTTGTGGCCTGCCCTCTAGTGTCCATCACATAGAACTGCAGCTCACTAGTTCGACTGTCAAACTTCAGGGATGAAACACTGATTACACTTTTAGAAACACTGGAGCGTTTAGAGCTTATGTTGCATCCTTAGGAAAGGTAAGTGTTTTAGCCCTTTTTTCTTAGGGCAGGTAGGTGTTTTATTTTTTTGTCACACTCCCGAAAACATCATGGCTTGTTTTGGAAAGTTGGACAGGGCATTTTGTCCTCATTAATGTCTGTGTCCTGACCCTGCAGCCTGAGCTGTTCTGGGATGTTCAGGCCGGGTTGCAGTTAGGCCCTTCCTTCCCACCCAGGACAATGGTGACCTTATAAACGGGCGGTACGGGGCATGGGTGTGCACATGAGATGGCCATGACACAGAGGTGGAGCTTGGGTGGGTCATCTTCAAGCTTAGGAAAGCCAGGGTTGCCAACAGCCACAGAAGCTCGTGGCTCCCTTAGCTTCCAAAGTGAACCAACCCTGCCAACACCTTGATTTTGGATTTGGGAATAAGTGGCTGTATAAGCCACCTACTTGGTGGTGCTTTGTTCTAGCACCTTGGGCACTCATGAGTTGGGTCACCTGAACTGGTTTTCAGGGGAACCAGAGGCCTGCTGCCCTTTGCTCCAATGACATGGCCAGAGGGCACATGCTGCTTGTGAACAGAACAGACACCCCGACACAGCACGGGACTGCTCTCCATCTCCAGCCTTGCCATGTTTTGTAGGACATTTAGAAGTTTTTCATTAGTTCACTATGATTACAAGTCTGGTGTTGCATTCTGTGTTTATTTGAAGATGTGCACCTTGCTACAGTGATGAGAGTTCTATAAATAAAATTGCTTGTATAATTTGTGCTTTTCTTAATCTTCTTATCTGGTGACTGAATCAGCCCACTGATTCATTGACTCCCAGCTGCAAACTAGTTTCCAGGGCGCATAACTTATCTCTTCTTTGAAATGACAGGTTGTTCACTGTGTTCAGGCGCTGTGCTAAGCGAGCAGGGTAAGTTTCAGAAAAGATGTAATGGACTTTGCAGAGGGGGAGCCCCATGGGGGGAAATTTAGACTTCATCAAAAGCTAAACTACCATCCTCCAAAGGAGTGCTGCTGAGAAGGAGGAAGAGGACCTGGGGCCCCAGGGCAGGGAGTCTTCTGGCACTGCAAGGGTGAGAAGGTCCTGAGGAGCAGCAGGAGGGTCCAGCATGGAAAGCCTGGGGACTTCGGCCAGGGAAGCCAGAGACAAGCAGGTGCTCAAAGCCTCCCTGAACTGCAGGGCCTAGGAAATGATGTTACCAGCAAGGCCTCATCGGGAAAGATGACCTGAAAGAATTTTGATGGAATTGGATAGTGTAGGTGTAAAAACCTTATTTCACAGGAATGTCTTCAGAAAATATTCCAAAAAGTTGCCCAGAATTGTCACAGTATTTTGTGGAAGGCAAATGAACTAATCTCAGTCTCAACCTATCACCCATCCCATTGTAAGAAGTCACTGAAACTTTATAAGCCTGCAGTCAGATAGCCTTAGATCTCTGTGGGGTAACAGGAAATACATCTTTTCTTCTTGTTCTTCAGATTCTTGGAGGACATGATGGAACCTGACTGTTGCAGTCAGAATATTTGTGTCCCCCTGAATGCCTCTATTGAGCCCTCATCCCCCTGTGACAGTACTGGGGAGACGTCAGGTCATGAGGGCCAAGGGTGGGATCGGTGTCCTCACAGAAAGTCCCAAGGAAGCTTGGAGGTGCATGGAAGGCACTGTTCTCACCAGACACCTGGCCTGGGTGCCTTGATCTTAAAACTCCCCACCCTCAAAACCTTGAGCAAGTGTTTCAGTCTGTAGATTACCCCGTCTGAGGGATTTAGGATGAGATAGCAGCAGGGAGGTCACCACATGTTGCAGAGGTGGGGAGGATGTGGGGAGTTGGAGGTGATAGTCTTGTAAAAGCAAGCCCTTGCAAGAAAGTGTTTTCTCAGTGATGGACGCACATTAAAATCCCCTATGGGCATCACCAGAAAGTGCTAAAGTCCCCTACACCCCTTCTCTAAGCTCCCAAGTCATTCTTTTGTGTTGCGAGGGTCTCAAACCTGCTGTGTACCTGAGCCTTGGTGCAGGGTCTGGGTTGGGGTCTGGGGGTGAGCTGTTCCAGCAGGCTGTCAGGTAATGTGGTGCTGTGGTTTGCAGACTGCACCCAAAGAAGCAGGGTCAGGGTCCAGGCCAGCCGCCCAGGGTTGTGAAGAGCCAAACCTTGTCAGGGCTGCAGGGGCCACTCAGGTAGTGCAAGTGCATGGCGTGTGCAAGGCTCTCGGTTCAGTGCCCAGCATACAAAGCCAAGATCACCGATGCCATATTTTTGGTGTTCTTTGGTGATATCTTTTACAAAGCTACTAAGCTGAAATTTTCAGGTCTGGGAAGGAAGATACAGGTAACTATAAATAGGAAATAGGTAATATGTTTAATTTGTTAAATATGTTTCATTCTGGTTACAAAAGAAAAAAAGCAGAAAACCAAAAGAAAAACATTTTACCATCTACAGGTATATAATTAGAATTTTTTTTTACTTAAGTTTTACAATAATTTCTATATTGTCTGTGATCTGCTTCTTTTCTTTCTGTTTTTTTTTAAAGTTGTTTTTTGAAACAGGGACTCACTGTGTAGTTCAGGTTGGTTTTGATCTCACTAAGTAGCCCAGGCTGGACTCAAACTTACAGCAATACTCCTACCTCCGCCTCTTTCTTTAGAGTTTTCAGTGTCCACGAATATTTTACACAGTAAAAACATTTTCATCACTTAGATATACATCAAGAGTTCTCAAACTTTGTCCGTGGGGTTTGTTGTTGTTGTTGTTGTTTTGTTTCGTTGCAGTTCCTAAAATGCCAAGAGTTCACACAGTGTGAAGTATTTCAA